GTCCGACGATAATTGGACATCGATATTTTTTAATCCGGTTGACCTGTGCAAATGCAACTGACATGCAAATCCACGCAGCATCCAGAACGCATTTGCGCGAAATGAGATTTCGTTATCCGATCACGTGTTAGCTTGGAAACTGACACGCAGAAGAATAAAGAACGAGAAAAAAATAACGTAACATCGTAAAAATTTGCGTATAATATTTTGCGAATAGTAAAAAATGTAGTAATAATATTTTTAAATAAAAAGATATTTGCATTAAGAGAATGTATTATTTATGAATGCGTAGATATTATTTGTGTATCTGATATGTGTGATAATGAGAAGAAAAAATATGAAAACTGACACAATTACATTTATTATTTTTAAAGTAGTTTAAAAGAATTGTTAACTAAATTAATTATAATAGCACAAGTCAACAAAGCATTCAGCGTAAATTGATTTAGTATTAATTGATAAATGTAAAAGAGAGACAGATTTAATTAAATAAATATAATGAGTAATTTAAATAAAATCGTTTAATATGGGTCTTTAATTTTTAACTTTAGCTTTAACTTTTTAACAAAATTAAAAAATAATTATAAATGTATCGATAAAATTTATTTACTAGTTAATTATCATTTCATCGTCGTGCATATAATATTTTCTATAATATAAAACATTTTGTAACGTTATTTTTGCTAATCGTAAATAATATGGTATCCAACTTTTAATCGCGATATTTTTAATCAATAGCTGACTATAATATACGTCTTTAAGTCTCAGTGAAACTATCAAGATCAACCCTAAAAAATTTTCGCGCAATCATATTTCCCTTCTAACGGACAACATCCGTATGTCGGATCCTTGTGCCACTACATCACTCAGAGTTGTCACGGACTGGGACAGGTTATGACGTCCTCGTACAGTTTCCACCAATTTGGCGACACGCTCGCGCGTTCGCGGATCCAGACCGAGTTATTGCGGGGGCAACATGCAGGACGGGGGTTGTAAATAATATGGAAAACCGCGGTATAAGGGATGCGGCCTTCTTCCATCTTGCGACACTCCACCGAAGGTGTACGTGTATACAAGATACACGAGGAAAGGAATAACGGAAAAAGGAAAAACGGAGTCGCGATGGAGAGAGAGGGGATTGAAAACGACAGAAGGAGGAGAACGACGATGCGAGATAGCGGCATCTCTGACTGGCGGTATATGCTGACGGTGACCCGAGTCGCCATATTTCAAACTGGGGCGTCCTCGGAGGGGCCGTGAATACCTTAATAGTCATAAGGTGTATCCGCATATACGACGAGTATATGGAGTTGTCCTCTAAAACGTATTTGAACGTTCCATAGTCGGCAGCTACACGAGATGATACAGTTCTGGACGGCTGTTCTCCGCGAGGATACGATGAGGAGGAGCGTAGGCGATACGGGAACCGAATACAGCCACTACGCGTTAAAGTGGCGTCGCAGAAATTGTGATAGCCAGGAATATTCGCTATTGGTACTCGCGACGGGGCGGTACCAATAACACGAGGTATTACGATTGCACGGTACTTCGCAAAATTGTTCGGACAATTTTCAACACCGCGCGCAGATCGTTACGGACGATTTTGTTACTGCGTTCCAACTTATTGACTTTTTACTATCTTTGCGTCGCATCGGTAGGAAGAAGTTGATGTTTCAAGATTCAGAAATAATTTTTAGACATCAGGTGTGATGTAAACTATTAAATCTTTATAGAATATAAATAAACGTTTAAAAATTTATTACACTAGGAAAAAATTATCCTAAATTTCAATAAATATTTATTAAATATAAAAATAAAATTTATTTGGTACAGAAAATAGTATAATTTGATTTAATAATTACTTCTTTTTTATTAAGTAAATATTTATTTATTGTAAGTAAATGTTTAGTTGGCAATATTCAAATAAATATTTATTCAAATTTAGAATATTTTTTCTCAGTATAATTTAATGCTAGTGTAGTAATAACTTAAGTTACTACTACATTAAAGCAGCAGCATTAAAGTTTATAGCATTAAAGCTGCTGCTTTACAAGTGCTTGATCCACATGATGATGTCTCACGTACGTCTTCGCGCGGCTTGATGCTATTTAATAATGGACGGCTCTCTATTACTCAATGGCTATTAGGAAGTACGCGGGAGGGATGGTTTTCGGTTCCACTCGGTTCACGGTGCAATCGGTTAATCACCGCTCTCTCATCCCCAATTCGTACAGCCTGAGACAAGGTTTAAGCGCTGACATAGCCGCGCGCCCTTCGGCCCACCCACTGGTCCCCATATCAATTAATCTTACCCAGAATGCAATAACTGTCCAATCTGCTCCCGTGGCTGCGTCATGGTGTCGTGCAGTCTGTGCTGTAATGTCCCTCCACCGTCTCTGTCTCGCTCTCTATTTATCTTTCTCCTTGCCTATCTCTCTCGTAGATAAATTTTTCGACGTTCTCTGTCTTTCTTCTCTCTTCTCTGCCTTATCCTTTATCTCCGCGACAACGTCCTGTACGATTGGTGTAGACGATGGTAGCTGTAAACGAGCTTACGGAAAATCTCACGTCCGCCCTAACATCGCACTCGTACATCCCTGCACGAAATAATGAGCGCGCGAATAGAAGGGAGAGTGGGCAAATTCAGGGAAACTCTCTCCGTCAGAAAACATATTGGGCTGTTAAGGGGTTCTTCAGGGTAGTCTGCTTAATTGGCACGGCCGTTTAACCCTGAATTACAGCGAGTGAAGCTGAGACGATCGTGATCCGGCAGTGCCAGATTCAGAGACCTTGATTAATCGAGCTATTGACTTGAAAAGTGAAAGGTCATATAAATTAAGATGTAAGTATATATTCCGCAATATGATTATTTTTTTACTTCTAATTCTTTTTCACTTCAATGGAATTACGAATCTTTAATGTTGATGACATCAATATATTATCAAGAAAATTATTTTTTATCAACTAAGTAAAATATTTATAATTTTCTTTTGTTTTTAATTTATTACTCATTATTTTTTATGCTAGTTCTGTACCGTGTACAGAATTATGTATTGCAATAAAATAAATAATAAAAGAAAAATATTTTTTAATATAAATGTATTGAAAGGTTAAAGAAGGAAAAGAGATTGCTAGAAGAAGCGTTTACAAATGGTAACAGCGTTTATTGTTAATAATAATAATGACAATAATATTAATAGCAAGTCTCTAATTACAATAATTACATAATGATATTAATGGTACAACAATAAAAATTTTGATAGCGAGAAAAAGGGAAGAATATAATAACTTCTTGGTGAGGCCACGGCATGCGAGCTACCATTAGTCGACTCTATGCCGCATACATTATGTGCCCTCTCTATTTATAATATTTATAGTTTCGATTTATTCATATGTATATATTTATACGCTTAGACTAGCCGTGATACGATCTACGTGCTATTTACAATTTTTGGTCACAGTTGCAACTTTTAAGGGCTGGTGATCTTGATGCTGTTTTTTTTTTCAAAGACAAGTGCGGGAGATATGCAAAATATAGTACGTTTCCGCCGTACTTCGACACGCCAATCGACAATCATGCTAATCGGAGATTATTTACATTTAAAAAACATTTAAATATAACATAAAAAAATGTAATAGAAGAAATAATTCTATTTTCAGTTGTAGCAAATTTTGGTGCTTAATAATATTTATATACAAATGTTTGCAAATACATTATTCAAGTTTTTTATAAACTGTTTTTATAAATCATAAAAAAATATAATTTAAAAAATTACATATCATTTCGAGTATATTAAAAATGATATAATTTTAGATAGACTTGTAAGTAAAAAAAATCTTATTTTTAATAAATGTAATTAACATAAATGTGTTACATCATTATAAAGTTACAATCTTATAAAATGTCCGATTAATTTGACATCGCACTGCGTATTGTGGAAATATCTACGCAATAAGAGAAGTTACAGTAACAGGTAATCGATTTGCAGGTAGCTAGACGATTAAAGTAGAAAGTGTTAATCATCATTCGTAACAAAAACAGTCATCAGTCCATTCACTTTCATATCGCTTACATATCGTTATATTCATCAATTATTATTTCTCACCGCAAAAGGTTCTTCGCCCGGATAAAAATCGCTGAAAAAACCAACTTCGACACACTTCACTTTAGGAACGAAACGAATGCAACGCTTTTTCATGGAATGTCTAGTCACAACGAATCACGAATGCACTTTCTCCATTTATCCTGAGTATATTTCACAAGAGTCCTTGAAATCGTGGGATATTCACGTTAGATTAATCGACGCATGCGAAACAAATGGTCGAATAAATATCAACTTATACAGTCTCCTCGCACTAACGTCAAAAAATCAATAAAGATCTCACAATAAAAAAATTACAGTACCCCCTTCCCGGCAAATTTTATTTCATCTCGAGAGTTCACCCTCGAATTGCACTGTTCCGATTAACTTTGCAATTGATGCGATCTGAATTTACAAGAAATGTATTCTTGATGTAATCAGCGATCGATCACTGATCGATATTAACATTTTGTCTTTTATTTTTTTTTAAATATTGCAATATTTTTTAATATTTCAAATGAATTATTCTCCGTAATAATATATAACGTAATTTTTGTGTCTATTATAAATTGTAATTAGCTGTTATAAATTTAATTTATAAATATATCTCTTAAGTAACGTTGATTTCTATTTTTCTATTTTTTCGAGTCGAGAGATATATTAAAAATAGAAAATAACGCAAAATGCAAAAAGTTAGTATCTTTCAATCACGCTGCAATCCGCAATCGCCTCAATCGCAATTCTATCCATGAGATTAATTTATCGTTCTTTTCTCCGCCATCATCAACAATCGTGGAGATTGTCATTTATAATTTCATTTCTCGCAGTTGCATTCTCAATCCAGTCGGATTGGCTGATACGCAGAAAAGAGTCATTAAAACAATCTCCAATCATCGTTCCGTATCAATCTGGCGCTGGATTATCAACCGCGTCGCGATCTCACTGCATCATCGGTGGATTTCCACTGGGCAGGGAATTTTGTCCGGGAATCGAACCAATCGGCGGTCGATGAGACGCATTTAAGTCTGCATGCTGAGTCTCGCGATGCCTTCTCAGATCGACCTTACGCTGAAAAGCTCGACCACAGAGCTCGCAAGCGAATGGCTTGTAACCAGTGTGTTTTCTCGAATGCGTAATCAGGTTGCTGCTCTGCGAGAACGCTTTACCGCATACTTGACATTTATGAGGTTTTTCGCCTGTAACAGAAAAGACATAGAAATTGTTTAGAAGAAACTAGACTTCTGACTGATTAAGTTCGATTCCGGTCGATCGATAATGTACTTAATTGAAAAATAAAAAAATATTGAATTATAAATTTTTAGCTCTTATTGAAAACTTCTCTCTATAACGTGCGGCAATTACAAATATATAAAAACGGAAGGAATATGTTTCAATTATAAAAATTTCTCATAGTATTTTATTCTTTCAATCAAACATAATAAAATATATCTGCTATTTTCTTACTAGTGAAATCTTCTTTATATATATATATAATGTGTTTCTATTCGAACTATTTATAAAGATAGTCTATCGTCAAGTACAATGAACTTAAAAGGAGAATCGGAAAACTCGAACAGCGCAATCCAGCTTCCCTCTTCCGCCTGTCGCATTCCAGTGAGCATGCACGTTAATCCTAAAGTACTGAAGTGCTGCCAGCTCTATCCTGTTCGGTCAAGACTCTCCTTAAGTCGAGAAAGGGGAAGGGGGAAGGTGGGGAGGCATGGGGAAAGAAGGAAGACGGAGGGCATAGAAGGCTAGCCACCTCGCAAGACGGGTGTAGGTGGCATCAACGATGCGGGGCACGCCCGGTTAAGATTTCCTCCCAAGCGAGAATCTCAGCCACCCCGGCGGCGAGAAAAGGCAGAGAGAGAGACGGACCGAGAGAAGAGCGAATAGTGGAAAGGGGTGTCTATGTGCTCCGCTGTAGGGGTTCGTTGTCTAAGGGGCGAGGAGAGAACCCCGACTCGAAGGGTCGCCGCTCGTTTCTCTCATCCTGGCCGCGAGCTCTGATTGGCGGCCAGGGGCGGCTCCAACCCACGTGTTACCATGACTACCGGCGGGATAACCCGGCTGCTGCTGACTGAGGGCGAGAGAGAAAGCGTTGCCTGCCGAGGGGTGGTGGTGGCACGACGACGATGCGAACTACGTCGCTGGCGGGCAACGAAGGGCCCGTTAATGGACTCCCCCGTACGTCCATACGTCTGACTGAGCAACCGGTACACACGTACGTACACGCTCGCCCTCTCGGCATCGCATCGGCACGGCTACGGGCGGAGGGTGGATCCATAAACAACTCGTTAGCCAGGCCTTCAATCTCGCTCCCGCCGATACGACCAGGCCGTCGATCGCCCTCGCGATTATACCCAGCCACGATCTTGATTTCCTATCCGGGGAAAAATATCGGCTACTTCTTTCTCGGGACCGGACGTGATAACCCATATCCATGAAAATACGGTATCTTTCCCGAAATTCGAGTCAATGTGAAGTACCACAAACATCGATCTGAAGAGTTTAACTTAGGATGCGCGTTTTAGTTACCTTACTCGATGCGATGACTTACAATTTGATGCTTGGTAATTTTGATATTTATATTTCTCGCATGTATTATATATATGTATATATATGGATAATTTATCTTTAAATTTAGTAACGTTTCTCCATTCTAACTGATACTCTCTAACATTCTTGATATTTTATTCATATTTTTTCCAAAATAAGCTGCTGTTAATCTTTAATCTTAGATCAAATATAAAATAAATATTATCGGAAGAAATATAATAACTAAATATATATTTATTGAATGATATTATTAGATTTTCTATGGGTTTTGACTTATATTATCAGATGCACTGTTCTTCCGCTTTGTCAACATTTATGTATCGCGGTACAAAGTTTTATGCAGTCATTTTATGCGAATATCAGTCGCATAGTTGCACTACCCTTTAGATCAAGATTCACGCGCGGATTCAGAGTTAAGGATGCGCTTTTGTGGAGGGTGTACCGTAGGAATCCGACGAGTCCGCCGCTCGATGAAATTCCTCAGAGTTCTACGTGAACCCAAGGGGTGAGACGAAACGGATAGAATTTTCGCGGAGTTAAGCGCCGATGGAAGCCAGGAGGAAGTGCAGGGCGGCCGTTTGAAATTTATGAGCTCGTAAAATCAAGAACCGTCCGAGCGCTCGCACCGAGGTTGCCCGTTTCGCGTCTATATCGCAACGACTTCGCCGTTACAGAATATTGCTTCTGCCAGACAAAACGGACAATCCAAAATTCCTTAGTATAAACCCTTCTTATTTGGCTGTCTAATAAATGGATCTCAAAAATCCGTTTTCTCTATATTGAGCTGGATATAAATTGAATAAAAAATCAAATTTTATCTTAGATACTCAGGATTAATAAAAATCATTTTTGGTCAAAAACTGTTCAAAAATAATTTTCTTGCATTACTCTGTAAAAAGATATCGATTCCAAAACTATCAAAGATTTTGTCATGAATTTCAGAGATTTTGAAATGTCTATGTTTATAGTACTTATTTTATTTATTATACATTATATATTTTTTAAACAATATTAAGAATCTTTATTTTAGATCGTATATGTGAGAAGCACAATCAATACTAGAAAAATGCCTATTACGATCGAAGCTGGATTTTTATTGCTTTAAATAATTAAATTTTGAATTACTAGTATACATTATATATGTACTTGCATATATACCATATTGTATACTTTTAGAACTGCGCGAATTGTTCTTTTGGATGCATATAAACGCAATTAAAACTACTCTAGTAATCGCGAATTAAATTGACAAGCAATTTAATAATTTGATATTTAATTTTTGTTACCATCATATTATAAAGATGTTAGTATGTTGAAACTGTTAATAAATTTATTGCGAAAAATATTACCTCGGCATATTACCGGAATAAATATATTTTTGACTTCTTATATAAAATATATTTTTTACTTCTTATATAAAAGAGATATGCAAATCGAACATTTGTCAAATCGAATTGAATCGAATCTTTGATAATATATGTTCGAAAACAAATTGAATTTGAAATTTTTATATCGAAATTATTAATCAAATCAAACGATTTTGAATAGAAAACAACTCGAATTCGCGCGAATCAAATTTTCCCGACTTGATATTTAAAATTAACTTAAAAGTAATAAAGTATTTTTAATAACGTACCAAATTTTTTAAGTAAACGAGAAAATAAATTATTTTCAGTTTATGAGATGCATGTTTTGCATAAATAAAGTAAATAAAAGCGATCGATTCAAAATCAAACTGATGATTCGAAATTTCGAATTTATTCAATTTCAAATATCTCGGATTCAAAAATGAATCGAAAGAGAAAAAGAATTTATGATTTGATTTTATTCAACTCGAATTTAAATTATTCGCACATCTCTATTATACAATATAACTTATATTAATTCTGCAGTACATTATATTTTATTCAGTGGTATATTCAGTGGTATATGCATTTTGCCATTTAGAGATGTCACTATTTTATTCCCTTATATTGTTGCTGGTAGCTAGCGCGAACCGCGGCATTTTTTAGCGGCCGAGAGGGTATTAAGTTTAGCATTCATATGCAGGAGAGAGAAGATGGCACTTTAAAATATCATTTTCTTGAGAAAATGAAGGATTAAGGGGATGGGAAAGAAAGAAGGAGAAGAGTAGAATAATGTGTAGAAATGGAACGCCAGGTCTACTGGGATTCTCGTTTCTCGGAAACGAAGTAAAGAAAAGAAAGACAAGGCAAAAAGAAAAGGAGCCGCCGGAAATTTACACGCTCATAAAAATCAAGAGCCGTCGGAACTCTCTTGGATCCGTTGAGTTTATTTCTTTGGTGGAATTGTCTGTGTCAAAATAACCGCGTTAATAAATTCGTTGAAAGCAACGAGTTACTAGAATAATTCGTTATCCGCGTTGCACGTTCCACGACTAAACCTTTCAATTTTAAAATATCGTTATTAATTATTGACTAATCGAGGAGATCGATCTATTTTCAGTAAAAATTTTATTAAACCTTGTATAGATCACTTGTTTACGTTACTTATGAATACCAATACTTTCGTGCAAAGCCAAGATAATGCAGCTTCAAGAACGTGACCAGAACGGTGATCGATGATCAATAATACTTCGAATATGAACAGAAAATTCCAATTGCGGGCGAAAGAATTTTCGAAAGAAGGAGAAAAATAAAGAATATAGAATATGGTACATGCAGAACATACGTAGTCTTATATATTCGTGGAAGAAATATCAAAACGGTTTAAATCTTCAAGTGATATAAGAAAATTTTCACTTTTAATACGTTTATAATTAATTTTAGAATATTATTAAAAATCTTTTAGCAAAATTTCTTAAATTTATTCATATTCAGAAAAAGAAAAAATAATATTGCGTTTATTTTAAATCATAAAATTAAATTACACAATTAAATTGTATAGCATTTCAGAGAAAAAAAGTTTCCTTAACGATTGATAAATCAATCAAAACTTAATAGATTAAACTTAATAGATTAAACTTTAAAAACAAAACGCAAAAAATGAAACAATCTAATAATATTTATTTACCATTTTCCATTTATTATTATTCATTGCATTATCAGTTCTCTTTTAATGTAATCTTTCAATATTTGTTTAGAAATTCCTATAAATTGTGATAATTCCTAATAAATGATTCGATCAATAATTGAAAATCGTAAATTATAAAATCAATTTTATTGAAAAAATAAAGGAATTTTTAAAGAAAAAGTAAGTTGGCGGGAAGAAAAAAGCCGAGCGTCTCTCAGAATTTACGTGCTCGTAAAAATCAAGCACCATCGGAGCGCGTTTTATCCTTCCTTATCCCTTATGCGAAAAGTACCGGGGGTTCAATCTAAATGCACACGGGATGCATTCTGTGCCTCAGCCTGCTCATGTATATCTCTGTGGCTTCGAGGAGTGGCGAGATCAAAGATTTAACCGGCGGCAGCAGTTGAGATTCGACGCTCGCGAATTTTTAACAGCGAAGGAAACGGACGAAACCGGTTGGCTCTAAAAGGCGAAGAAATTCGAGGCTGAGAACCCCTGAGGTTTAAGACGCCATTACACCCCTCAGGGCTGTCGACCGACGCCCCTAAAACTATATTAAACTCCCGGAAATCTTGTGCGCAAGAGGGCACTCCGTCTCTGCTAA